CTTTGATTTTGAGCAAGTGATGGTGAAGAAGTTTCGCACATGGGCTGAGCGCAGACAGTTCAACCGGGACATGAAGAGGAAGCAGGCCGAGTCTGAGAGGCCCATCCTACCAGCCAATCAGAAGCTCATCACACTCTCTGTACAAGACGCCCCAACAAAGAAAGGTACTTGTCTGAGTCATTACACTAATGAATTTAGTACACAACATGTGGTGTTTTAACCAGACCGACTGCATTTATATTTCAGAGTTTGTCATCAACCCCAACGGGAAGTCAGAAGTGTGCATTTTACACGAGTATATGCAAAGAGTACTCAAAGTGCGACCAGTTTACAACTTTTTTGAATGTGGTAAGTAGCATAAAGCGTAAGACTAAAATTATAATTGCGAAAAAGTTTGAAGCTGTGAAAAAATAGCCAATAATAAGCATGTTGAATTATTTGTGTGCCAAGTCTGCATATCTGCAGTAGCATTTACAGTTATGCTATTGAGCTCGCTTGGTGGAAAAATGGGTTGCGATTTTTATCTTTGTACTTAAAATGTGTTGTAATGCTGTTGTGAAAGCAGTAAACCACTTAAGGCCATGCTGAACAGTTTGGTTAATGACATTTTGGGCTTGATGTAACTAACAGCTCTCTCTAACCATGATAAAATGTGCATTAATATATGGCCTGTTGTGGCGCAATGATTTTACTTTGTATATGCGTTTGGTTGCTTTTTATATATAGATATCTTAATATAAGGGTTTTTTTTTTTTGGCCTAGAAAACCCAAGTGAACCCTTCGGAGCCTCAGTCATTATAGACTGTGTTACATATGGCACAGGAACAGCAAGTAGTAAAAAACTCGCCAAGAATAAAGCTGGTACCTTTTCCCTCATATCTTCATCTGATTCTGTAACATTAGCAAGAATTTTATGAATGGATTACTGCAATTATTTATTTTACTGAAGAATATAAGTATTTATACTGTCATCCTCTTTGTGACAGCTCGAGCAACACTGGAGATCCTCATTCCTGACTTTGTGAAGCAGACGTCTGAGGAGAAGCCCATAGAGGGAGATGAACTGGAGGTACTGCTCTTCTGAGTAAAATGACTGATATTATCTTTAGTCAGTTTCGTTCTTTGTGGTGTTTATGGATGTTTATTTTCTTTTCCAATCCCACAGTATTTTAATCATATCAATATTGAAGATTCAAGAGTGTATGAGCTGACCAACAAAGCAGGTTTACTCTCACCATATCAGATCCTTCATGAGTGCCTTAAGAGGTATGTTATGATATAGGTTGTGTCATTTGATTACACCGACAATTCAATATTACCGGAAACACATCTGTTAATACAACCATGAGTCCTGAATCATGCCTGATTGAAAAGCAGCTGAAGATCTGTTGTCTGTTCCATAGAAACCATGGCATGGGTGACACCAGCATCAAGTTTGAAGTGATTCCAGGAAAGAACCAAAAGAGTGAATATGTCATGACATGTGGGAAGCACACTGTACGGGGCTGGTGTGAGTATTTGTGCTTGAGAGGTTTCATTTAGAGAGCTAGAATCACAAACAACATAACAAATGCTATTGCTCTTGATTACTGCAGGTAAAAATAAGAGGGTTGGAAAGCAGCTGGCTTCACAGAAGATTCTTCAAATGCTTCATCCTCACGTCAAGAACTGGGGCTCACTGCTGCGCATTTACGGCAGAGAAAGCAACAAGATTGTTAAGAAGGTCAACACTGTTATTTGTCAAAAACACTCTGCATTTTAAGATATTAAATATGAGGGGAATATTTTGTGTGGTTGAGAAAAGTTGTAATGTTGTATTCTTGCGTCGTCTTCAGGAGAACTCTGACAAGAGCGTGATTGAGCTTCAGCAGTATGCCAAAAAGAACAAGCCAAATCTTCACATCCTCAACAACCTACGAGAAGAGATGATGAAGCTGGCTCGAGAAAGGGTACAGCTACAAATTTATGACCTCTTCCAGCCAAATCTTGTACTTCAGATAAATAGAGTTGGATGAAGATAAAATACCAGGGTGGCCGTGGGTCCTTAAAGTCTTAAAATGTCTTAAATTCAGATTCAGTAGGTCTTAAATATTTTTGATCACATTACCACAAAAATTTCTCCAGTCTAACGGACCCAGTGAATGTCCATCAAGAGTACTTTTTCCCCCGCTGTAGTTACCGCGTCATCAGAGAGAGAATTGCGCTTACAGAATACAGTCGAACACCAGCTCGCTGACCAGCCTCCGAACTACTTTAAATGGGTTAATGCAAGTTTACTGAAAAATGGCTTGAGAATTGTACTTGCCCGACAGGACTAATAGCCTGATTAAAACTTAAGTGACAAAATATAATCACGCATCAAAACGCGCAAATGATTCTTCTGATTTTATTACATTCAGCTTAAACAGAGATTGATAATTGATCATGTATTTCTATTAACAATGTCGCGCTGTTGAGGCTCGTGCTGCCTGTCTCTGTGAGAGACTTTCATGGACAAATCAAATCAAATGAGCGTACGGCACACATAAAGAAACTCACAGAACAAACATACTGAGGTAAAAATTCAAAATGTTTAGTTTATTTATAGCATGATATAGTCAAGTAACATGCCATGACAAGGGATCTATTTTGCTGAATATTTTCATGATTGCAAATGTTACATTGATTTTAGTTCAACAAACAAGTAGTAAAGTATATGAAGTTACTTACATTTTTAGACACAATTGACTGTTTTGTTCTAGTTCACCAACGAAAATAGTTCCAAATAAAGATCAGAACAGAATTATTGCGCACATTCTCCAAGCCACACCTGGCATTTTTGTTACTGAATGATTCAGAGGTTTGAAGGAATCGGTTGAATGAATAAGTGACTTACCGCCACCTACTGGCGGTTTAGTCTCATGCTTAAAAGTATGCATTTTTCCCCAACATTTCTTATTTGTATGTTCAATTTTATTTACAACATTAATCCCATAACATTATTTATTGCTGTTGTAATTTTGTAATTATTTAATTTGATTGGTAACAGCCCTGTAGTGTATTAAATTTCTTGATCAATTGTAAGAATTTGACTTGAAAGATGATGCATACATTTAATAAGGTAAAAAAAAAATATTGGCCTTTATAAAGATAAACGACATCCTGTGGTAAATATTAAAAACATGCAGATTTAAGTATGTAAAAGCTGACAGAAAACTGATGAAAATATTGCTTGAGAATAAATTGTTTACACCACCAAAAATCTCGGTGATGCGACACTTGTTCTGTGGGAATATTTTGTATGGGATATTGTCTGCTGATATGAAAAGTTAACTGTATATCGTAATAACAAATAGAATTTGACAGCGATGATACTTTGTTTTCTTTTTACATTTAAACGTGTTAAATATTACATATACGTATGTAATATGATGTGCATTTCCATCACAGGCTTGGTCTTAAATTTCACATAAGGTGGTATTAAAAAGGTCTTAAGTCTTGTTCATATCTGTAGACACCCTGAATACATGTTTGGATGAGCTGATGCCTTCCAGTCAATCAAAATAAATAAAAAGTAAATTGACAGCTAAAAAGCTTTTTAAACCTTTCTAGTGCATACTCATTTGTGTTTTTATATTGGTTTCAGGAGGAGGCAAGAAAGAAGCCGAAGATGACTGTAATGGAGTCGGCTCAACCTGGCAGTGAACCTCTGTGTACTGTTGACGTCTAGCAAACCCTCGTTCAGCATGTTGTGATGGCAGATAGCACTGACCAATGGTAATAGTTCTATAACAAAAGGTCATCCTACCATTACTGACTTATGCATTACTTTGGAGTGCAAAATGGCAATACTAGTTACATTTTTATTATCAGATTTATGAGCTCTATTCCCAATCCAATTATTGCCCATAATGTATGGGTTACATTTGCTGTAACAGTCATATACATGCACTAAGGGAAGGTAAAATAAGCATTAAATACCTCCAGATGCACTTCTGCTCCGGAAAGTGCACAAATATAATGACGGCTGTTGACAATAATATGCCTATATTAAGGTAAATCGTACAAATTATGTATGTTAAATAGGGGTGTAACGGTACACAAATATGACGGTTCGGTAAAGCGGCTCTCCAATGTGTTTATACAGCGATGTGTCATGCCACATCAAAGACTGTCAAAACGCCATTTATTATTTGAATTTCCGGAGAAAAAAATAAAAACGTATTCGTTCGGTACACATGCGTACCGAACCGAAAGACCCGTACCGAAACGGTTCGGTACGAATACGTGTACCGTTACACCCCTAATGTTAAATATTACAGAAACTTTTAAGTTTGTGGCTTTTAGATGTTAATAAAAATGTTGCTTTTTCCCTTCTTAAACCGCAAATTAATTTCATATTTACTGTGGAACTACAGATTGCACATGACAGACTATCTCCGTACTCATAACTGATGCGCTTGTCATTTTACAAGGATTTGTTCCTTTGTCAGCTTCTGTGGCATGCACAGTGCACGTGATCTTTTATCTGGGAAATTGGGTTCATAATGGCTTAAAGTGTGTGGGCTTTCTTCAGTGGCCATGTCTAGTTCTTATTGGCATGTGAAGCATTTAAATGTTGTATTTCTAAAGCATTTCATGTGCACACTTCCCTTCCAACTGCTGTTAAGAAATGCACTAATGTTGGAACTATTTGCTTGTGTGAAATGAACAACCTTTGTGTTTTTGTTTTAAATAAGGAGTGAAGCATACCAATGCTTATCTTGACCAGTTGCTTCAGAAAGCACTGCAGAGAAAGCACAAGTGTTTGAGGTCCTATAGTTAGTTGAGGAACAAGACATCAGGGAGATGGGATGCTAGTATGTGCTACTTTAGTTATCTTTTTTGTTGTTGTTACATTTCATATAATCTATCTCTTGCATTAGAGACTGGTTGGCAGTCTTCAGTAGAAAAAAAATGGTATATGTGATGGTACCTTGTTTCAAAAGGGAAACGCCTCACTTGAGTCTGCATTAGTAATGCTATACGTTACGTATTTGCTGTGGAGTCATGCTGGCTTTCTTGCATTTGATATTTTAGAAAAAGAATGCCTTCAACGCATGTGCTTTTGTTGTTTGTCTTAAATTCTTCAGTATGGTTTTGTGGTCATTTGCTGCAGTGCGTGATTGTGTGCTCATTTTATTCAGCTCTTATGTTGGTGTATTAAATAGTTTGAATCATATTCATTATTTCACAAGGCAGCCTACCTAAAAACAAAGGCGGTAACTCCGTACCTCGAAGAAAATCAGATCATGTCATTATATTCAATAGCTCGAAGAACAGTGTGAACCAAAGCTTTAAGTCTTATGCATTATGGAATATTGCTGCATAGCTATTCATTAACTATATATAAACCTATATACAGTACATGCAACAAAATATTAAAGAATGCAATAACTGCTGGATTAAAATATGGTCCCCGTTTAAAGAAAACCACCACTTCCCCTGAAACTGTCAGGGGAGAAAAAAATATTCTAGCCTTAAGATATTACAGGAAGGTCAAAGTCTGTTTAACACTGAGTTGGGGGGGGGGGGTCAGGTTTTCTTGGGACAGCGACTAAAAACTGCAGTGCACTGTCACTGAATCTAGTATTTTAGTTTGTGTGCTTCTGAATGTTAACTGCGTTTGTGAAGGCACTTTCCTGTTTTCCATGAGCACAAGGCTGCTGCTGCCATACTAAGAGTGCTTCGAGAATATGCTTTCCCAATAAATGTCTGGAGTGTATGACTTGTCCTGTCAGTCTTGCTAAGTGTGTATTAGTTGTCTGAAGAAATGCGTGCTTTTTAATCGCTATCATTGAAGGGATAATGTTAGATGATTTAGCTGCAAGTAATGCTGCCTATTAAAATGCAACACGATCGCTGATACGCAGTGATTTGTTTATACAAATAAATTGATGACCAGAAACCGATAACTTGTGCTGTTTTTACTGGGTTGTTTTAATGCAAACAAAAGAGGGGAAAAAAGCCTATATAAAAAATAAACATGGTAATGGTTTGAGCACTTTAATCAAGCACTTGAAATCTGAAGTGAACATTTGAAATTTTCCCATAAGCACTACCATCAAAGCATTTTAATGGGAGCAAAACAGCCACCCTGGCATGGTAGATGGTAAAGATAACGGAGCGTCAGGTCTCTGTGGTCTAAATGTCAGTGTTAGAGCTGTAGGCCACTCTTTCAAACAGCAGGATGGTTTCACAGTGCATGGTCTGGGGGAAGAGGTCAACAGCCATAGCTCTCACTGGACGAAAGGGGGCTCCTCGCACACGGTTAGAAGGAGCTCTGCAGAGACTTCAAGACAAACATAAGTTTTAGAATAACTGATTCAAATGGAGTAGGGTCTGATGCGCCTGCAGCTCTAGGTAATAAAGTTAAATGGGAATATTATATTTTCAGAGGAAAGTCAACATTGTGCAAGGAGAACAAGTTTGTCTTTTATCAAAATATAATAAGCCTCTGATCTCCCTTTTGGGTAATGTCACAAATCCCTCTCATGTTTCAACCTTTTCAGTCAAACCACTTCCATTCTGACATGTAATGCCCATCAAAATGCTATCAATTCACAATAGATTGATGTCCCTATCCTGAATGTGATGTAAAATACATAGAAAATAATGAACTTACTCAATAAAATTGTTCATAGCTGCTTTGGCATTGCAGGCGACGTAGACGAGTCTCTTAAGATGCTCTGCTCTTCTGATTGCTAGAATAACTTTGGAATCTAGTAAAAGTGAGAATATTTGGGCAGAGAACGTAAAAACACCATGTCTGCAAGGTAAAGGTTCAAGATACTATGAGAGTACTGTACATACGTAGCCCTGCTCTTGGGGGGTCAATGATTGCCGTGACGCTGGGAGATACGACAGCATTTAGAATAGTGGGGAACACGTCTTCAGCCTTTCCACAGTGGAATTCCACATTGGTCAAGCCTGAAAATATACATTTGAAATCGGAGTAGATCATGGGAGATGAAGAGAGAAAAACTGGACAGTGATAATGTCACTCTGGCCTACCATTCACTTCAGCGTTAGCCTTAGCATCTTCCACTGCCTCCTGGCACAACTCTATGCCAATCACCTTTTTCACTCTCTGTTAACACAAGTTTTTTTTTTTTTAGAAGGCTAACTGTTGCTCTGTTCACTCATATTTTTGTTTATTTTTAGAAGCAAACGCCGCACCTTTGCCAGTGAGATGCCGATGGTTCCTGTTCCACAGCACACATCCAGCACAGTGCTGTCCTGGTCCAGCTGAGCCCATTCACCCACAGCAGAGTACAGAACCTCAGCAGCAGGGGTGTTTGTCTGGAAGTATCAAAAATCATAATATACATTTTTATAGCACTAATGCAGGACATTTAAGCTTAAAATATTAAAGTATTAATGTCATGCATGATGCCTTTTAACTATCATAGTGTTAATTCTCAGGAAACGATATGATGACAGTCAAATGGTCAGGAGGTATACCTGAAAAAATGAGTGTGGAGAGATACGGAATTTTAGTCCGAGAAGCTCTTCATGAATCCATTCTTCTCCAGTCACATGTTCACACGGCAGGTCCTCTGTACCTGCTGATGTCCTGGGTTGATGCAAATTAATAAATGAGTGTAAAGTCATCTAAAATCTAACTTCATCTCATTTGAATTTTTGAGGGTCTTACCTTTGTCCCATTCTCACAAAGTACAAAGAAGTGATGCCACTTTCTTTTCCTTCGGTAAAATACTGATGCAGGTTTCGTTTCAGTTCCTCAATTTCTTCTTCTTGGAGTTTCTAGGTTGTTTAAAAACGTAATATTTCAAACAGCAGTCACAATAGTTCCACAGTTTGTAAAATACATAACCAACATCTAAAGTGGACACACAAATAACCACTGAATAAATCTCTTTTATTACCTGTGGATTGAAGAAAACAATGGCCATGGTTTGCTTTATCCTGCTTGTTCGTACTGTTAGCTGCCGCCAATGACCCTCATAAGTCTCTGGACTGTATACTGCATACGGGGTTGTCCTATTTAGAATATCAACACACATAACACTTCGAAATAGAAATAAATACATACACAATGGCTGATGGGTAATGCAAACTTATATTTTGCCCCTGGAATAAAAAAAAAAACGTTCAAAACACATTCCACTTCATAAATATGGCTGGATTTGGATGCATATTAGGTATAATCGGCAGTAAATAAAAGAAAATATTCATTCACCTGATGAACTGCTGGAATCCCTGCACAACCCTCTTGGCCTCTGAAGACACATGGGTGGTTTCTGATGGACTCACTACTGCACAGGATCCTCCTTTATACTTACCCAAACGAAAGCCCACAGTCTTATCCTCTCCATCTGCTCCCACTCCAATCACAAACTCACACTTATTCCTGTACTCTGTCTGTAAGCACAGGACACATCACACTTAATCTTATTTCTGTATGTGAGCAGTGAGCACATAGATGATTTACCTGCACAGGTGATGGTCGTATGGCCTCGAGTGGGCAGCATATTTTGTTGTATTTCTCTTTTTGAACAAACAGCCAGGGAAGCATGGCTTTGTTGTTGTTGCCAATTTCTCTGAGAACAGAACAAATATCAAGGAGGCGAGTTATATTGAAGGAAACTACTGTTTACTGACCAACTCTTGTTACACTACCAGAAGCTCATGTATGAACTACAGTGGGTATAGAAAAGAAAAATAATCAAATTTTGTTGCTTTGCAGCCTGAAATGAAGACGGACACAGTTTTTGTTTTATTCAGCTGTATTTACTCAGTGCAACTTATAACATCCAAGTGAAAGATATAACACCAACAATCACTGTGTTGGAAAAAGGATCACCCCCTCCTAAAAATGACTTGTATAATAAATCAGGTGTAGCTAATCACCTTCTCAATGGCACACAAAGCCATTTGACTTTCAACTGTGATCAGCTTTGGTCATTTTGATTAGCTCGGCATGAAAAGAGCTTTCCTGGAGCATTTCAGTCCTTGGTAGTGCAAAACAAAGCAAACAATAAACTATGGGTGGCAAGACACTGTCAAAAGATCTCTGGGATAAAGTTGTGGACAGGCACAAGTCAGGAGATGGATACAAAAAAAAATTCAAAGGCTTTATCAATGCCTAGAAGCACAGTGAAGTCTATTATTAAGAAGTGGAAGGTATTTGGTAGAACACAGCCTCTCCCTGGATCAGGACGTCGCTCCAAACTGGATGAAAGAGCCAGGAGGAAACTGGTCAGAGGGGCGACCAAGAGGCCTACAGCAACTCTGAAGCAGTCGCGGGAATTTATGACAAAGAGTGGTCATTGTGTGCGTGTGACAACAATATCAAATTCTCCACAAATGTAGCTTGTATGGGAGGGTTGCAAGAATAAAGCCACTCCTCAAGAAAGGCCACATGCCTTGTGAGTCAGTCTGAGCTTTGCCAAAACACACCTTGGAGATTCTGAGGCAGAAGAGACTAAAATGTAATTATTTAGCCTCAACACCATATGATATGTCTGGCAGAAATTCAATACAGCTCACCATCTAAATAACAGCATTCCTACAGTAAAGCATGGAGCTCACCATCTAAATATCAGCATTCCTACAGTAAAGCATGGAGGTGGTAATGTCCTGTTAAGGGGGAGTTTCTCTGCAGCAGGGACTGGGGCACTTGTCAGGATAGAAGGAGAAATGGATGGGGCAAAATACTGTCAAATTCTTGCAATCTGCTGCCCAAAGTTGTCAAAAGGAAGAGGGTTTACCTTCCAACATGACAATGACCCAAAGCTCACAGCAAATCTGAGCCCACAATGGTTGAAGGAGAAAAAGGTGAATGTCCTTGCATGGCCTGTCAGGGCCAGACTTAAACCCCATTGAAAATATTAATCTGTGGAACGACTCGAAGACTGCAGTCCACAAATAGTCACTATCAAATTTAACTGAACTTCAGCAGTTCTGCAAAGAAGAGTGGGCAAATATTGCAAAGTCTAGATGTGCAAAGTTAGTGGAGACATATCCCAATGGACTAAAGGCTGTAATTAAAGCAAAAGGTGGTTCAACAAAATACTGACACAAGGGGGTGATCCTTTTTCCAACTAAGTGATTCTGTTTTTTTTTATTTTAATTTTTTCTGACATGTTAGTGTTATATCTTTCACTTGAATGTTATAAGTTGCACTGAGTAAATATAGCTGGATAAAACAAAAATTGTGTCCGTCTTCATTTCAGGCTGCAAAGCAACAAAATGTGATTATTTTAAAGGGGGGTGATTCTTTTCTATACCCACTGTATATGGTTGACAATGTCACATAATTGATCTATTTTTGCTATTTAACACGGAAATATGCAAGCCATTGATGTATATGCATGCCACCAGACCCATCAGAAAATACCTGGTCAGTTTCTGGAGAACACCTTCAACTTCTTTCTCTTTCCTTTTCAGCTGTTCTTCATAAGGTACGTTCCACAAGGGTGTCACAGCATTGGCAATCTGGATATTGAGAGGCTCTTCTTCATTCTCCTCTACCTCCTGGCTACCCGCAGCACGTTTTGTACCAGGCTGTCCACCTTCCGCTTCCTCCTCTAGTTTCCTCTTCTTGAGGATGGGATCAGCTTTGGGCTTGGCTAGCCGTACACTCAGCACTTTACTCTTCCATTGCATGCCGTGCACTGCCTTCATGGCCTTGTCCCTTTCCTCCTGGTTCTTAAAAGTGACAAAGGCAAACATCTGTTTGCTAAACAGCTTGATTTTGTGAGGATTGATCCCATGCTTGTTGAGAAACTTCTTCAGGTCATTAAAACCAATGTACTTGGGCAAGTTTTGAATCTCAACTTTAAAGATCTCTGAGGTGAAGAGATCTTCTTTGATGTAACGATACACACCACCTGCTGCACCCTCTCCTTCTGCTGCTGGCTGATTCTCTTGGTTTTTCTCTTCTATTAGGTCATCTGGTTCCTTCTCTGTGCTGGATAATGAACCAGCTGGATCAGTCTTGTCAGCAGCAACATCTGTCATTTTGCTCTGCATTAAAGGTCAAAGGAACATATTATTAAACTTAAAAATATTTTTCCATTTTGTATTCTGTTAGGTGATCTTAATTTTCAATCAGTTAAATCAGTTTCAGCAGCGTTCTGCAATGTTCCATACTGTAATTTATTTAAAACTATTACAAAAAAAATCTAAATTCATCTACAATCATTATAGATTTATGACCTCATATTAACTGAGAGATTACATGAACTATTTGTACTTTAATAATTAATTTCTCACACAGCAGGACCATTAAAAAACAAATGGAATAGTGACCAGTTACAGCATCTAAGATCACTAATACATATGCATGTACATTTACGTTAAAAAAGTGAATTGACATGTTTATATGTCAACTAATGGACAGTACAACGCTCAAAAAAAAAAAAAAAAAATTTTTTAT